AATTTCTCGGGAAGCCCATAGGAAGGGAGCTTCGAAAGAAGCGCTTTGTGCCAAACCCGATCGAAGGCCTTCGCAATGTCCAAACTAACGGCCAATGCCTCCCCCTTGGACTCTACTGCCTCCGCCCATCTGTGAGTTAGGTAGACCAGAAGATCACCAGCTGACCTACCACGGCGAAAACCGTATTGGCGGTCACTAATCAGCTGGTGATCCTCAAGGTACCTCATGAGCTGGCAGTTTACAATGGACTCCATTGTTTTGGAGAACAAGGAGGTGATGGCGATAGGCCGGTAGTTGGACGGGTCTGAGCGGTCGCCTTTTTTAGGGATCGGGTGGACGAAAGCCGTCTTCCATGATTTTGGGACTACGCCTAGGGAGTAGGAGTACCGGAAAAGACGCGTTAAAACCGGTGCCAACTCTGGAGCACACGTCCTCAGCACAATTGGGGGGATTCCATCAGGCCCACTCGACTTATAGATGTCCAGGGAGAGGAGTGCTTTGCGAACCGAGCGCTGAGTGAACTGCACTTCCTGCATGGAGCACTCACACCGCGGGATGGTCGGCGGCATACTCCCCCCGTCATCGAGAGTCGAGTTAGACGCAAAGAAAGAGCCTAGAAGATCGGCTTTCTCCTTTGCGGTGTGGGCCAGTGAGTCGTCCTCCCTGTGCAGAGATGGAAGAGATGGCTGACAGAAATTCCCCCTGGACAGCCTTGGCGAGAGACCAGAATGCACGGGTTCCAGAAGGAAGACGAACTAGTCTCTCGCCAATTCTGCCTATGTGCTCTGACTTTTCATTTTTCATTTTTTATAACTATATGTATTTTCTTTCTATTTTTCATTTTTTTATAACCTATATGTAATATAAAGAATAGAATTAGATAATTTTTCCATAATATCATAATCATCATCATCGTTACAGACCTTCACAAGTCCACTGCTGAACATAGGCCTCCCCTAAACACGGCACGGTCCTAAGACACCTGCATCCATCGACTTCCTGCATATTTTACCAGGTCGTAACTCCATCTAGTGGGGGGTCACCCTACACTTCGCCAACCGGTACCAGGCTGCCACTCGAGAACCTTTTTTCCCCGACGGTTGTCGGTTCTTCGAGCTATATGGCCGGTCCATTGCCACTTCAGCTTACTAATCCGCTGGGCTATGTCGGTCACTCTGGTTCTACTGCGGATAGCCTCATTTCTAAGTTTATCACGCAGAGAACTCCGAGCATAGCCCTCTCCATAGCTCGCTGAGCGACTTTGAGCGTCCTCATACGGCCAGCAGTGAAGGACCACGTCTCGGTTCCATAAGTCATCACTGGCAACAAGCACTGGTTGTACAATTTCGTTTTTAGATTTTGAGGTATGCCTGACGAGAAGTGTAACGTTATTTCCCGAACGCTGCCCAGCCAAGTTGAATCCGTCGATTGACCTCTCGATCGAAGTTGGACTTACCTAGTCAGACTATTTGTCTTAGGTACACGTACTCGTCAATAACTTCTATCTTAGTACTCCCAACAACTACCAGCATACCTAGGCTCCACTAAAAGTATCGGGTATGGAATATTTCCACTGTTCCTGTCATCTTAAAATCTTTTAAATTGAAATCTCCTTGGTTTTAAAAATCGAATGCCATTTATTTATCGTTGAGAAAATGGAATTGACTTGAGAAAATTCAAGAGCGATGATTTATTATGACTTTCGAAGTGGTTTAACACAAAAACAGTGTGTTAAACGGATGATTTCTGCATTTGGTGATGAAGCCCCATCCAAAACCACAATTTATCGCTGGTTTGCTGAATTTCAACGTGGACGTGTCAAGCTCAGTGATGATCCCCGTCAAGGTCGTCCAAAAACTGCAGCCACCCAAGAAAACGTTGATGCTGTGCGTAAGCTGATTGACGAAGATCGACATGTGACATACCGCGAAATTTAGACAACTTTAGATATTGGCATGAGTGAAATACAAATAATCTTGCATGAACAATTAGGTGTAAAAAAAGTTGTTTTCCCGATGGATACCGCATTCGCTCTGTGAAGAGCAAAAAGCGGCTCGCGTTGCTTGGTGCCTCAGAACTCTCGAAAGATTCTACGCAGGATCCTCAAATGCTGTATACAACATCGTATCAGGTGACGAATCCTGGATATAAGTGTACGAACCCGAAACAAAAAACCAGTCACGAGTTTGGGTGTTCGAAAATGAGTTAAAGCCAACAAAAATTGTTCGTTCACGGAGTGTTGCAAAAAAAAATGGTGGCCACGTTTGTCTCCAAAACCGGCCATGTTACGACTATTCCTCTTGAGGGACAAAGAACGGTTAATGCAAAATGCTATGCTAGCATTTGTTTGCCACAGGTTGTTTCTAAACTCTGTAAAGAGAACTGCAACCGCCGCATCATCCTCCATCACGACAATGCGAGTTCTCATACCGCACACAGAACCAAAGAGTTTTTAGAGCAAGAAAACATAGAATTATTAGACCATCTGCCGTACAACCCCGACCGACCGAGTTGGAATATATAGTGGTATCACCATCAGACCGACAGACGTATAATACCAGCGATTGACAGCTGTACCTATGGGGCAAGGCTGTACGGCATTGTGATCGTAAATACACCTACCAAGCATGACGATCAAGCCAAATCTTCAGAGAGATTTATGTTCAGCTGTAGACATTTACGGGCCTATCTTGAAGAAAAAAAGAAAAGATTATATCACATGCATGTCACTGATATATATGCATATCAGTGCCAAAGTATCGGTTCTGTGTCTAAGCTCATTAACCCGCCTGTCTAGCGTGGTGAGTATGCTTGCTAGTTGGTACATTCTTGGCATCCAGCAGTGGAATGAGAAAGGACTGAGTTTGAATCCCGAGTCGGCCTAAATAACTAGTTATTGGGTTTTTCTGTAAAGAAATTCTCAGTGTAGTCCTATTGATTTCTATACTTTCCCTAAAATAAAGAATAAATTGCATGGACAGAGATTTTCATCACCTGAAGAAGCTGTGGACGCCTACAAAACGGCCATTTTGGAGACCCCAACTTCCGAATGGAATGGTTGCTTAAATGATTGGTTCCATCGTATGGAACAATGTGTCAAATTTCGCGGAGAATACTTCGAAATGCAATAAATACATTTTTAAATAGTAATATTGTGTCGCTTTCTTGATTCCCGAAATTTTCAGTGCCGCCCTCGTAGGTGTGACATGGACATTAAACATGATCTTTGTTTTGTTCATGTTCATCTTAAGACCTATCCGTTGGGAGGCACTATTAAGGTCATTGAACATAGCGCTTAGGTCCTCCAGCGATTCTGCCATGAGGGCTATATCGTCGGCAAATCGAAGGTGAGTGATGTACTCGCCATTGATGTTAATACCGTATCCTTTCCAGTCCAGCAGCTTGAAAACTTCTTCCAATACAGCGGTGAAGAGTTTCGGGGATATAACGTAACCCTGTCTTACACAGGTTTCGTAATCTGGTTCTGTACTCGGATAGCCATCGTAGCCCCACTGTACAAACACTTCAGCACTTCGATATACCGACAGTCAACTTGGCACTGCTGAAGGGACTGTAGCACCGCCCAAATATCGACAGAATCAAGGGCTTTCTTATAGTCCACATACGCCAGGCAAAGTGGCAGATTGTACTCTCCGTACTTCTTTACAATTTGCCGAAGGGTATGTATGTGGTCTATGGTGCTAAAGCCTAAAGGAAACCGGGTTGTTCGGGAGGCTGGAAATCGTCCAGTCTGCGTGCGAGACTTTTCGTAATGACTCTCGAAAACAGCACGTAGACGCGGCTCAGAAAGGATATCGGTCTGTAGTTCTTCAAGAGAGCGTTGTCACTCTTCTTGAAGAACAAGACCACCACACTTCTACTCCACGCCTCGGTAATAGTGCCACCATAGAGGACGGAATTAGAGAGCTTCTAAAGGACTTCAAGTACCGGTTTTCCACCCGCTTTTAGAAACTCCGATGTAATTCCATCCTCGCCCGGGGACTTGCCGTTTTTAAGGTTCTGGAGAGCCATTCTAATCTCGCTCAGACTGACGTTCGGGATATCATCGGAATAGTGATATAATATAAACAAATAATTTATGTTTATTGTGTTCGGGGAGTGGCGCCATATGCTGAAAAACAGATTCTGGCCTCGTTCGGCAATGGATGCTATTTTTCATGTTAAAAGATAAAATATTCCTGTGAAGTTTATAAATAGACATATTTTAACTGATATATATGCAAATAAATATTATCAAAGATAAAGTAGTCTCTAAATATAAGTTTTAATGGTTTAAAGTGCTGTGGGTCGGGATTTGACGGACGCATGCGACTGAATGGGATTATATGGGGATCGAAGGGTTAAATGACGCCTTAATGCCTACTTACATTATCGATTACTTAACTGAATAGTGGTTATCTTCAATACTAATGGGTATAACTATTATATATATATATAAGTAGTTTTGAATAATATGTTGTGTTAGCGTTAATATAAGAAATCGAATGTATACAATAATAATGTTCATACATGTTATCTAGAAACACTTTAAGATGTCCTTGAAAAGGTGGGTCCAAATTTGATTTTGAATTTATGTGAATTAAATCAATTGTGATTTAAACAAGGGTAGACAAGATGTTGAGATGTTGTGCAGCGTAGTGTCGGTGTAATAATATCCACTACTCCATATCATGCCGGCGGATGTCGTAAGAGGAGACAGGGGTAACAAATCGGGATATGGGCAGCAGCGTCTTCCTAATATCGACAAAAAAAAACTGTGGTTGCCAACCCGCTTGCCAAGCGTGGGAACTATGGCAAATATTCTCCTTATGTGGCAATTAGGCTGTAACGGCAACGGCATACAAGATGTTTTAACCAAAGACCTATAATATTTCGTTGGGTACATTATAACTGAGAAATAGACTAGAAGTAATTTATATATTTATTTAAGGAAACACTAAAAATAAGGAAGTCGCTGGTTTTTATATTTATGTTTAAATCTAGAGTACTTTGAACTTAGGTGGTCCATAAGTCTCGTGGGGAATACCCTGACTAGTTGAAATTGCATTTGCATCATAGCCCGTGAGAGTGCTGGCGGTCGAAGAAAGACTGGATAATCCTGAGGAGCTATCGTATCCATTATCGGTAACTCCGCCGTCAATCGTCGATATGCTGACACTTTGACCCTTAGCCCCATCATAAGATGATCCATAAGAACTAGACGTTCCAGTTGAGGATCCATAGTTTCCAGTCCCTGTAGCGCCAGATGCAAATGTACTAGATCCAGATCCAAACGTGCTTGAGGTAGAACCAGAACCAAACGTGTTGGTGCCTGATGAACCAGATCCGAAAATGTTCGATCCACTTGATTCTGTACCGAGTGTGCTTGAACTACTTAATCCACCTGAACCAAAAGTGGAGGATCCAAATGCACTGGACGAATCCAGCGATGATGAACCTTGGTCCCCAGACAAACTAAAACTTTCCGTGTAAGACGGTCCCGATGAACCGCTTCCTTGGTTTGAGGTTGTGTAAACCGTAGAGCCATCTGTATAGCTTGAGTATCCAGATCCTACGTTACCTCCTTTATTTAAGTCAGATACAATGTTATTTATAACTGCCTGGGAATCTTGTTTGTTGTTGTATTTAATGAAATATACTTCCGGTTTCGTTGGAGCCTTCTGTTCAAGTTTAGGTAAGACGATATTCTGTGCCTCTTCGGGCTTCTTGACAAGAACGTAGACAAGAGTTTTTTCTTCGTTTTGTTGTGGTACTGGGATAATTTGTGGAGGCTGCGCTGGTGTAGATGGTGCTTTGATGAAGATGATTTTGTAGTGTTTTTGTGTTGGCGGCAAAACTATGGGCTGGCGAGGTTTAGGCCTTTCAGGTTCTTCGGGGGCAGCGTGAACATAGTAGTGCTTAAACACTTCAGCTGGCTGCTGTTGAATTACGTCGTAATATTGCTGGTATTTCTCGACAGCCGATGACTGGTATTGGCCCGACGTTTGGTATTGATTAAAAGCGGAATAATCGCTACTAGTCTGATAGTTCGGTTGTAGAAAATCGGTGTAGTAGATAGTATCAGGTCCGGTTGCAGCCGAGCTTGCAACAGTTTGGAATCCTGTGTAACCAGTGTTCTGCCCACTTGTTGAGCTCAACCCACCGTGAGTATTATATCCAGTATAGTAGTTGGAACCTGAGTACTGGTTATTATAGTTGTTCTTGTTTGTGCTTCCAGTTAGGCCACTGTTGTAGGTAGCGCTGGCCGTGCTAGTTAGGTACGCTGGTTCGCCGTACGAGTTTTGAGGTACCTTATAATGGTACCCGAGGCCGACATCCCCCGCGACAACTCCAACAGCAATCGCAAAAACCTGAAATAATAGAAAATATATTGTGTTAAGCGTTTTAATTTGTTGACTGAGTCAAAATGAACACAGAAATTTAGTTTTAAAGTATATTGTTTTTATGTGAGATTTACATCTCTAAACATATTTATTGTATTAATTTATTGTTTAACCCTGTTATTACAAAAAGTAGATCATAATTAATAAGTGTCGAGTTCAGTTTTTATAGAATTAAGGTTAAAAATATTGTATACCGCCACTACACACAGTGTGTCTTAAGAGACGACAGAGGAAAGCAATTATCAGATGGGCAGCAGCGTCTTCGTAATAACGACTAAATATTGTACACCGCCACTACACACAGTGTGTCTTAAGAGACGACAGAGGAAAGCAATTATCAGATGGGCAGCAGCGTCTTCGTGATAACGACTAAATATTGTATACCGCCACTACACACAGTATGTCTTAAGAGGCGACAGAGGAAAGCAATTATCAGATGGGCAGCAGCGTCTTCGTAATAACGAGTAAATATTGTATACCGCCACTACACACAGTGTGTCTTAAGAGACGACAGAGGAAAGCAATTATCAGATGGGCAGCAGCGTCTTCGTAATAACGACTAAATATTGTACACTGCCACTACACACAGTGTGTCTTAAGAGACGACAGAGGAAAGCAATTATCAGATGGGCAGCAGCGTCTTCGTAATAACGACTAAATATTGTATACCGCCACTACACACAGTATGTCTTAAGAGACGACAGAAGAAAGCAATTATCAGATGGGCAACAGCGTCTTCGTAATAACGACTAAATATTGTATACCGCCACTACACACAGTGTGTCTTAAGAGCCGACAGAGGAAAGCAATTATCAGATGGGCAGCAGCGTCTTCGTAATAACGACTAAATATTGTATACCGCCACTACACACAGTGTGTCTTAAGAGATGACAGAGGAAAGCAATTATCAGATGGGCAGCAGCGTCTTCGTAATAACGACTAAATATTGTATACCGCCACTACACACAGTGTGTCTTAAGAGATGACAGAGGAAAGCAATTATCAGATGGGCAGCAGCGTCTTCGTAATAACGACTAAATATTGTATACCGCCACTACACACAGTGTGTCTTAAGAGCCGACAGAGGAAAGCAATTATCAGATGGGCAGCAGCGTCTTCGTAATAACGACTAAATATTGTATACCGCCACTACACACAGTGTGTCTTAAGAGATGACAGAGGAAAGCAATTATCAGATGGGCAGCAGCGTCTTCGTAATAACGACTAAATATTGTATACCGCCACTACACACAGTGTGTCTTAAGAGATGACAGAGGAAAGCAATTATCAGATGGGCAGCTGCGTCTTCGTAATAACGACTAAATATTGTATACCGCCACTACACACAGTGTGTCTTAAGAGACGACAGAGGAAAGCAATTATCAGATGGGCAGCAGCGTCTTCGTAATAACGACTAAATATTGTTCACCGCCACTACACACAGTATGTCTTAAGAGACGACAGAGGAAAGCAATTATCAGATGGGCAGCAGCGTCTTCGTGATAACGACTAATTATTGTATACCGCCACTACACACAGTATGTCTTAAGAGACGACAGAGAAAAGCAATTATCAGATGGGCAGCAGCGTCTTCGTAATAACGACTAAATATTGTATACCGCCACTACACACAGTGTGTCTTAAGAGACGACAGAAGAAAGCAATTATCAGATGGGCAGCAGCGTCTTCGTAATAACGACTAAATATTGTATACCGCCACTACACACAGTGTGTCTTAAGAGACGACAGAGGAAAGCAATTATCAGATGGGCAGCAGCGTCTTCGTAATAACGACTAAATATTGTATACCGCCACTACACACAGTGTGTCTTAAGAGACGACAGAGGAAAGCAATTATCGGATGGGCAGCAGCGTCTTCGTAATAACGACTAAATATTGTATACCGCCACTACACACAGTGTGTCTTAAGAGATGACAGAGGAAAGCAATTATCAGATGGGCAGCAGCGTCTTCGTAATAACGACTAAATATTGTATACTGCCACTACACACAGTGTGTCTTAAGAGCCGACAGAGGAAAGCAATTATCAGATGGGCAGCAGCGTCTTCGTAATAACGACTAAATATTGTATACCGCCACTACACACAGTGTGTCTTCAGAGATGACAGAGGAAAGCAATTATCAGATGGGCAGCAGCGTCTTCGTAATAACGACTAAATATTGTATACCGCCACTACACACAGTGTGTCTTAAGAGATGACAGAGGAAAGCAATTATCGGATGGGCAGCAGCGTCTTCGTAATAACGACTAAATATTGTATACCGCCACTACACACAGTGTGTCTTAAGAGACGACAGAGGAAAGCAATTATCAGATGGGCAGCAGCGTCTTCGTAATAACGACTAAATATTGTTCACCGCCACTACACACAGTATGTCTTAAGAGACGACAGAGAAAAGCAATTATCAGATGGGCAGCAGCGTCTTCGTGATAACGACTAAATATTGTATACCGCCACTACACACAGTATGTCTTAAGAGACGACAGAGAAAAGCAATTATCAGATGGGCAGCAGCGTCTTCGTAATAACGACTAAATATTGTATACCGCCACTACACACAGTGTGTCTTAAGAGACGACAGAGGAAAGCAATTATCAGATGGGCAGCAGCGTCTTCGTAATAACGACTAAATATTGTATACCGCCACTACACACAGTGTGTCTTAAGAGATGACAGAGGAAAGCAATTATCAGATGGGCAGCAGCGTCTTCGTAATAACGACTAAATATTGTTCACCGCCACTACACACAGTGTGTCTTAAGAGACGACAGAGGAAAGCAATTATCAGATGGGCAGCAGCGTCTTCGTAATAACGACTAAATATTGTATACCGCCACTACACACAGTGTGTCTTAAGAGACGACAGAGGAAAGCAATTATCAGATGGGCAGCAGCGTCTTCGTAATAACGACTAAATATTGTATACCGCCACTACACACAGTGTGTCTTAAGAGACGACAGAGGAAAGCAATTATCAGATGGGCAGCAGCGTCTTCGTAATAACGACTAAATATTGTATACCGCCACTACACACAGTGTGTCTTAAGAGCCGACAGAGGAAAGCAATTATCAGATGGGCAGCAGCGTCTTCGTAATAACGACTAAATATTTCGGTTGCCAACCCCCTTGCCAAGCGTGGCAACTGTGGTGAATATCCCCCCTTTGAGGCAATCTGTGGGAGAGACCTATATTCAGCAGTGAACTTAATAGGCTATTACGGTAAGGGTGAAAATTATCACCTGATAGTAAGTGCATACTATGACCTGCAGACATCTACTATTTATCATCGATTAGGAATCAAACAGCAGATGCGTTGCCGCCTTTAAAACCTTTTTATTTGGTTTAAAATAAGTGAACTAAAATAAAAAGTACCTATTGAATTTGACATTTAAGGGACTTCCTTCGATATTACCAGTAAATCACGTTTTGTAACAAGAATGCAAGAGTATGTATTTATGTGTGGGAAAGTGCAAGTTAGTAGAATAATGTTCCTAAAAATGTATCTTCGATAGACATCGGTGTATGGCGGATCTAATACAGGCGGCGACGATGTAAAAAAGCACCATTAAACCATAAGATTTTTGGAACGGATATTAATATTTATTTTAAGATATTCTTAATCCGTTTGCCAAACGTACGCGAAATTTTCATGAATCCCACAAGCAACAAGTGTCTATATGGCTTATCAATAATTGTTTCGGGTCTGAAAGGTTTGTCATTGTGCAATTTATTTATGTAAGCCGCCTCAACATACAGATACAGGAGAAAATTTTAATGTGTAACGTTTTTTTAAAGAAAAAAAATGAAAAAGTCTAAAAATAAAATTAAATAAGAAAGTGTTTTCTTATACTACGCACTTCATATTACAATCGTTTACAATTTATAAGAAACGATTAAGAGATTTATATGAGTCGTATTATACGCGTAGTAGACGACGACATAGAGTAATGATAATCCACATAGAGGCTGTGTGTGGCGTTCAGCTGTGAACTTGTAATGGGTTGTAATGATAATAATGATGAAATGATCGAATTATTATGTTGTATTATTTTCAAAAAGAGATGGAAGCAAGATCGTTTTAACAAACAAAAACCCTTTTAGCAAAAAAAAGTAGAAGATAAAGTGGCGTTTGATAGTGTAGTATTAAGTAACAAAAAAGCGGTTTAATATTTTTCACAAATAATGGTATATAATGTAGTGAAAAGAATCCTTCATAGATAGAAAACTTTATAAAAATGATTTTATTATCATTTTTTAATTTCCTTTCGACAGAATTATAGACGACACACACAACCAGTTCAACTGATCAGTTTCAAAATTTTCAATATATCGATAAATAAACTTATATATAAAACTCCGATATTGATATATTAATAATTATCGATATATCGAAAATCCGATATTTTAAAAAATATCAACAATTTTAGTTTGAACTGACCAGTTGGAATGATCAGTCGATCTGACCGTGTGTGGCGTCCATTAATCTTTTGTAGAATTAAATTATTTGGAACAACCAAAAGTGCACGCCACATGAGCATTTAATTTAATTTTGATGATAAAAGTAAATTGTATTCCTAACTTAAAATATATTATTTACGTATTTTAAATTCAGCGCTTTATTCTTTTAACGGGTAGTGTCATCTACATGGAAAAAAAATGTAATATTTATAAAAAGCAAATCGATTACACAAAGTATAAAATCTATATCGGTTTGCTGCTGTCGATCGATTTATTTATATTTGTCCTTTCTCTATAAAGGGCTAAAAATATGAAAGCGCATTTAAATTATTAATAGCAATAAAACTTATAAAAGTTGAAAATAATTTTATTAACAAACTACGCGTATTAGGCAATTAATATGAAATACGGAACCAGTTGATATGATTCTGGAGCTAATAAAAAGGAAATCCAGTCTCGATACCACCACACATACCACATACAAAA